AGCGGTCTTGGGGTAGCTACACGCTGATAATATAAATACCGAGACCCTCTGCGGAGCGGTCTTGGGGTAGCTACACGCTGATAATACTGCCCTGATAATGTTTGTGCACGGACAATGAGAGTCTGTTTCTCGGGTACTTCTCTTTCGAGATCTGTTCGTACCCCTAGCCCGATAGTACAACTCATCGGTCTGAAGACCGGAGCAACCTATCGTGTGTCGGCATGACTCATCAGGTATAACGTCATCGTCTGACGAATACGTTTCCTTCCGAGGACTCGATGCCTTGTTTGCGTCCTCAAGAGTCACGCGTTTAGAGCGGCGCTTTTGGGGACGCGAACTCTTGATGGGGACGCAAACTCTTGACGAGATCTTGGACTTCAATTCGTCGTCCGAGGCGGTGAAGTGCAGGGGTTTTCCCATTATACAAAGGTCCTGATTTGTTGCGAGGGCGTGTGCGACCCCCAGCTCGAATAGCTGCTCGGGGTTCAGTCACCAGACCTAAGCGTTCTTTGATCAGAACCTTACCTCGATCCTCATGCAAAGGACCCAGGCGATCCGTCATCCTCATCTTGAAACAGGATAAGTCTCCGTGGTCGTAAGGTATCACCGGGAGTGTAGAATTCATCGGGACATGAATAGGGGCCGCCGAAAACTCAGACGGGACTGTAGGAAGTGAATCAGCAGTGAAACGGACCAAACCAGTCTGAGTTTTGCTCAAACCACCATTTGGTGGTTTGACTTTGGCCGAGCCACCATTTGGTGGTTTGAACTTGACCGAGCCACCATTTGGTCTTCTGGTTTCTCTGACGCCTTCAGGCACCGTTTGGGTTGTTTTTTATGCCGGTTTGGACTTTGGCCTCCAGACTCGGCGTGATCTTGGTGGCTTCTTGACCACTTCTTTCTGCTTCAGCTTTTGCGCTTCTCGCACGAGAATTCGTGCGTGCGCAATCAAGGCATGACGCTTCTGAATGCGCTCCGCGAGGGTTGAGCGGGTCCGTTTGACTTGGATCCATTCATTCGCTGTTGGCTTGGAGGATACGCCATTCATTTGCTGCTGAAGGGGTTTGCACCTTCTGGACTCCAGATCCGCTTCGTAGCGAATCCCGTCAACCGGCTCCAAAGCCTTACCGAGTCGACTCGCAAGTCGTTGGCGCTGTCTTTGGCGTGCCCTCTTTGATAGGGTTGGCGTGCCTTCTGCAATTAACTCCTTAGTGGAGGAAAGGTCCAGATCTGTAGATCCGGACTCATTGGAGGCCAGAGGGGCATTACAAGGCGGGGTTGCAGCGGCAACGGGGGCCTTGATCTTCCTACGCTTGCAAGGGGCGGAGGATCTGGAGGAGGAGGACGACAGATACTCCTCAAATTTTAGTTGGTCGAACTCGTACTCGACCTCTTCGTAAACCGGGATCTGGATCCGTGGTTGCGGCACGACAGCTTCGGCGGCGAAGCTGTTGGCTCCCACTGTGGTTGCTAGCGTGTTTGGGTCAAAAATCGCTGTTTTTATTGTGATTGAATCTATTACAACTTTAATCGTTTACAATAAACTCAAATAAAAAAAGTTGATCTTTTTTATAAGATCTCCCTATACAATGAAAATACAAAAAATACGACTCTTGTTAAACAGCGTAACGGACGTTTATCACCTGCTGCTTGCATGGGATCTTTGCCTGTGCCGAGGACGTTAATATCCGTGGACCACCGCAGATCAGATCCGGTTGACAGATTGGTGATCAATGCTCTCGCTTCACGAAGGAAGTGATTGCAGTAGCGGTGATTTTGACTAAGCAAAATCACGGTTCTTCTCGGGATTTAAGACCAAGCTTAAATCCGGAGGAATAGGGGACGGGTCTCATATCTCTCAAACTGCACTCTTTATGCGCAGGAGATCGCCAAGATCTGCTAACCCTTGCTGTAAATTCGTGGCTCCACTCTCCAATTCGGCAGCGCTTCGCCCTCTTGATTTTATAAGCATCGGGAGTGGGTATTTGGATAAGAACAAGGGATTCTTCTCTATCTTCAGTCGAGAACTGAATAACCATGGTATCAGATCAGTTGGAACATCCAGGAATAAACAAATCCCAAGAAAAACCGTCAAAACCGAAAAATCACATTTCTGGCCGAACTGTCACCTGATGGCTCGGCCGCCGAGTCACCTTCTGGTGATCTGGCTTTGGGCCAAACCACTGGTTCGGTTGAGTCGTTTTGATGTGACTCGGCCGCTAGCGGCTTTTATTGGTTTTCCGGGTTTTGACTTGTTTCGTCGTTACGCGTATTTCATCGTTTTGTTGATCTGTACGCTGTTTTGGTGGCCGATGAGCGTGCGGGCCATTTGGTGCGACCATTTGGTGGCTGGTGAGTACATGGACCACTTGGAGGTGGCCGGTGAGCACACAGGTTATTTGGTTCGCCGTTTCGCTTCATGTGTTCATCGGTGTCGGATAATCCTCTAGACTCAGATAATGACATTCATCACCTTCTCTCTGTCTCGAGCTGTGTGTGGATACCTATAGGCATTTTTAGATGCCTACACTCAGGTCTACCTTTTGGGGATTTACCTTACGAAGAGTTTATTCCGGGATCAGCGGAACTCAAAATTTTGAGAAGAACCAGCCCTGAAGTTTATTCTACTCTCTGGAAAGTCATGTGCCACTTCCATATCTATACCCAATAGACAGGAGTTCGGGGAGGTGGTGTAAAACAAGTATCTTGGGTGGAGTACTTGTTCCAGAAGTTAACCAAGAAGGGAGCCCTGGTGACCAGATTAACTGCGAGTACTCCAGAGGAGATCCAGGCCCGGATTGATACTGCCACCTCTCATTACACAAATGAAGCTAAAGAAGATATTCTTCCTACTTACATAGAGTTTGAAAGCTTCCATTATCAAGCTCAGATTACTATTTCAGATACGACATTGTTGGCAGGATTTCTGCTGTTATGGCTAAAGCGGTGCGTTGTCCTCACTAGGCTTATTGATGCTCTTGTTACGGAAGTAATCTATCCAGCCATTCTTTTGGCACATGGGAGGCCACTGAACCTTCTTTCAAGCATGATGTACTGTTTACAGAACGGGTTGCAGGAACTAGCCCTGAATTTTGTTCAGGTTTCAGAGGTGGAGTTTGATGAGGGCAAGAATTTTAAAACTCCAAATCCCAAAGTGCTAATGCCCTATACTTACTTAATGGCATGGTACGTGTCTCATTGTCCCTCACTAATTAGTACAGCCTCTTCCCAAGGTGACTCATTCATCTCGCTTGTGCAATAGTTAGATTCAGCAGAGTAGGAAGGGACTTACATGGTTAAGATTCGTCAGATTTTGTCGAGAGATACCAATTATCACATCTTCCATTGCTTCCCTGATTTTGAAGGTGGAGTGTATGGAGCGATGTTCCAGGATGTGGCAGGTCCTAACAGATTCACTCAGCTGAATGGGGGTGTTTTTCGTTGGCTACTCTACATAAGGCCGGGCTATCTAATTTTTCGATAGGGCGGGAAGTGTTTTATCGAGCCTTATCAACCATATAGATTCGCCCGTCAATTTGGATATAACAGCTATACGTTGGGAATCCCTCACCTCAACTTGCGATTGTGTGCAATCTATATGAGGGGGCCAGAGCCTGGTACTATTCAGTGCCGCTTGTACCAATGTCGTCTTCAAGCTCCCCCATAAGACACCTAATTCTTACACTTCCATGGTTTTTGCAACTAGTATTCTGCTGCCTCTCAGAACTCTGACTATAATTTGAATACATCTTGTCTGAAGAAAATCAGACGTATGTATGCTTTCAGGAAGGGGTCCAAGACGTCTTGTCTACAAGATAAAAATTTCCTAACTATAATTGAGGGATTTGCGGAGACCTGAGGGCTTTGCTGCGGCGTCGAGGGGTTGAGGAGAGTGTGAAGCGACCTGGTCGAGAGGAGCTCGATGTGAAGTGGGAACTCAAGGGAGAAGCAGCAAGGGCGGGCAAAGTCTAAACTCGAGGAAGAGGGCGAGGCGAACAACCACTACTTGACGCGGGTGAAGGCTGAACTCAAGGTGACTACTCGACGCGGCTATCAGGGAACACGCCATAGAGGGGCTGTCGAGCTCGAGGTAAGGGTGTGGAGGCGGCTAGCTTTAGGCGAGTTGAGAGGAGGATGAGTGAGGGTCTGGAGATATGTGTGGCGCTCGGAGGGCTGAGGCGGGCGAGGCTGTCGTTGGTGTGGATCGAGGGGAGATCTGGCTAGAGGCTCAAGAGAGCGAGATCTGACCAGGAGCCTTTTTTTGAGGGCCAGATTGGTCGCAGCTGCGAGGGTGAGGCTCGTTGGCAGCTGAGCGCATAGGCGATGGCTTGTGGATAGAGCGTGGGCAGCGATCTCCAACGGCGATACGGACGGGAGGGAGAGGAGGTAGGAGAGCGCAGGAGATTGTTGGGTGGATCGTGAGAGAACAGGGGGGTTAGTTTTTTGACAGGAGGGCACGGGGTGAAATATGAATTGTATGGGGATAGTTTTTCAAGTCTGACGGGGCTGAGATCTATTTGAGTTATGTAAACGGGACGGCACAGTCGCGCATCCATTGGCTGGCAATCTAAGGTGGCACCATAGTTACATCATCATCATATATATATATATATATATATATATATATAATATATAAGAGAGAGAGAGAGAGAGACGAGAGAGAGAGAGAGAGAGATATGAGTATGGCTTGGTACAAAAGCACAAAATTTTGCTGTTGTAGTTTAGGTGACACAATACCCTCCACTCATTCAAATGGAGGACCACGTTCACATGAGTTGAGGAGTGCATGGAGATATACAACTATTTGAATAAGTAGAGGGGATTATGCCACCTCACTACCAAGCACAATTTTTTTTGTACTATATAATTCAGAAATAATATGCTTCTTCTTCGACTGAATGCAAATTGACAAAAAAAGTCATTCATTAACTTTTCATAAGGTAGCTAGTGTGTACTATATAATTCAGAAATAATATGCTTCTTCTTCGACTGAATGCAGATTGACAAAAAAAAGTCATTCATTAACTTTTCATTTATATTCATATGTTCCTCACATTTGCATTTAGCCCACATCATCGGAGTGAATACCTGACAAATACTTTATTTATTATAGAACGGGGTGACGCGGAATTGGGGAATAATCAGTAGTCTCAACGATCTTTAAAATATATATAGGCAATTCTAGAAGACAGGTGATGGTGGTGAGTTTGAGGGGGGCGACAACTTGACCAAGTCTAGTATGTTGTTCCAATAGTTGTTGCCTTCATCTTCATCCTCGTCATCATCGTCTTCCTCCTCCACACAGCTTTCACCATGATCTACGTCTACAAGGTCCGAATCCTCCTCATTGTCAGCACCTGCTGCGTTGTGAGAACTATTGAGCAGCATTTCAGTGTATAGACCACCACCAGAAGCAGCAAGAAGAGGAGGCGGCGGCCCAAAATCTCCTCCGGTAGAGAACCTCATAGTGCTGCAGTTAATTGTTGATCCCGGAATTAGCCAGGATGACAGTTCAGCACCAAAGGCTATATTTGATGTGTCCCTATACGGCAAGCCTGCTGCAACTTGAGGCGGCAATAAGCCGCCAGTGCCAGCACCACCCATCGTCCTATGCCTGTGATCCTTATTGTCAGACACCAAGCGAATCAATGGCTTGTCAAAGCATTTAATTTCGAAATGTTGCTCTACTTCCAGTCCCTCACTGTTTCCTAAGTGAGCTTGATCATGACACAACAATGTGGTTGAATTTTGATGTGCAAAACCCATGCTAATTATTGGCAACACCATACTGGTATCTGAGAAGCTCAAGGTGGATGTAGGAGATTGCAGGTCAACGTGTCCTCCTCCCCCTCCTAATCGGAGGCTGCAGCCACCAGCTGATTTTGACCGGCAGGGTTCTCCTTGCTGTGTGACCATATCTGTAACTTGAGAATCATGAAGGCATGTGGCCATCGCTGCTGATTTGTTGCGCTGATGCTGAGGATGAGGAGGTGAATAGATGACGGGCAGTGCGGATGGAGCCCTGAGCTTGGACTCTCTTACAAGACGAGCTTCTGCTTCAAGCCTTGCACTCTCCCACTGAGCAATGTGGCTGAGATTAGCACTGCTCTTTTTAGAGTAGTCTCCATCACTGTTAGAGGTGAGGAGGCCGGAAGTCTCGCTCCTTGGCTTGTGGGTCACTGGGTCTATCCCCATCTTCGCCAGCCTCTTCTTCAAATGGGTGTTCCAATAATTCTTTATCTCATTGTCTGTTCTTTTCGGAAGATGCGTAGCTATCGCTGACCACCTGCAGGGGACGTAATAATAACAATGAAAAATAGTAATATCAGATTGATGATACTATAGTCCTAGTTTATATATATATATTGTTGGGCGCAGAGTCACGCCCACCGCCGCGGAAGCGATATCACCTGAGAGAGAGCCCTGACTTTTGTTTGCACAAAGTACAAGTCAAACTCGAAATCTGTGTTTCGCGAAGGAAACCTAGACTCAGTAGCGAAATATCTCAGCGAAGTGAGATATCCACTCTTCCTCTCATCAGCGCAAGACCGAATTTTGAGGGATCCTACAAGCAATAGCCAACAACCCAGAAAAACAGTAAATACACGAGATTTACGTGGTTCGGCAAACTAGCCTACGTCCACGGGAGGGGGTTTCACTATGAGGAGAATACCAAACTTAATACAAGTTTTATCTCAACTCTTTTCTTTTCTCTCTAAGAAAACTCACAAACCTAATTGTTTTCTCCACAATTTTCCCACTTAATATTTTTCCCCACACCAAAACACCTCCACCACCTCTCCTATTTATAGGAGAAACTAAAAGGGGGGATCCGGATTAATTGGCGGGCTGAATGGGGCGGGAGAAGAAAAAATCGCGCGGAATTTTTCCGCGCTCGGGAGCTGGCAGCGGGAAAACTCCCGCGCTCGGGAGCTGGCAGCGGGAGAACTCCCGCGCTCGGGAGTTGGCAGCGGGAAAAAGTTCCCGCGCACGTGGGTGAGCCCCCCACGATCACATAAGGAGTGTTACCTTTTCTGGGAAGAAGCATATGGAGTTCAAGCACCCCCTCCGTCGAAGTTCAACTGCTTTCCAAGAGCTCAAGCACCCCAAACTTATATATGAGTCTTGACTTTACTCCCTACCACATGGCTCATAGCCAGTAAGAGTACTGAATTTGAGCCCGGGTAGCCTGCGAGGGCTTCCCCAACCTAACCAAATGGACGGTCCCCGATGGATCATCTATTTGCAACACATTACGTGTTCTAAATATGCAAAATATGACAGCCATCTTACGTACAATTGGTTGTATACTATTCTTTAAGAAATGGATCTGCCCGAATTTGGAACAAGTTCTCTTTTTATATGGGTCAGACCCATTTTATTTGAGCTAAGAATTATTAATTCAGGGCCATGCATGTTGAGTCCGGGTTAGAGTTAGGCTCGGGGGCCCTGGTTCTACCTAACCAGACCCATAACTAATATAGCCTGGCTGTTAAATTAGAGAGAGAGAGAGAGAGAGAGAGAGAGAGAGAGAGGGTGAAGAATATGGTAATCAAGGGTTCATATCAATAGCCAAAGTTAAGAAGAAGCTTCTACAAGCTGTCTCCGTGTTACAAGCTAAAAAATTTAGAGAATCTTCTACATGTTGAGCATTTGAAGTAGTAAACTGATTGGGGTTTACTACGTCGTTCAAATTGTTGATGAAGTGTTTATTTTAACTACCAACGTCTATCATCAACATGAAATTATCTATGGAACACAACTCTAAACTAAGAAGGCTCCACCAAAAAGATTGATGCAACATTATTTAGATGAAGGAAAAAGGAACGCAGATACATTGGAGAGATTATTCTTTTTCGGTAATCTTTGTATTCTTTTAACTTGTATATATAGTTTGTCTAGAAGTAAACAAGTACTCTAGCTTGCAAGGAACTTGGTACGACGAGAATCATTTTCGACATTTAACATATGCTAAGTGTTGCAGTAACACAAGATGCTTCATCGCATATTTTGAAGCAACATCAATGATTTTACAATTTCAACTAAAACACTTTGTAACTATATGTATATACTGGATGAATCACAATCTTTTAACTCCATGTTATTTGCGAGTGCAGGACCAGTAAGCATTTTATTTATTTCAGGACTATTTGCGTTATTGCTAATTATCATATCTGATGGTCTAATGGTTTATTTTTCTTTGTGCGTTCTCAAATTGATATCGTGCTTTCTAACTGTAGTGTTTCTTGTTTTATTTTCTTGGTTATGTGCTCGATACCATATGAAAAAACTCAGTTAATTTGACTCGTTTATTAGTATCTATGTTGTTCTGCAATTAGGGGGTCGTACAAGTTACTCTCTCATATCATGAAATGACAGGTAGAAGTTTGTGTTGTTGATGTCTCAAGTAGTCAGAAGGAAACATCTCCTCTAGAAGGCCTTTCTTTTATCAGTAGAAAAGATATTCTTTCGTATGTGCCCTCATTTGTTTCTTACAAGCTTCCGGATGATAGAGGTGAAGCAATTGCAGTCATGAGTAGTGCCCTCATTTGTTTCCTGAGGAAAGCTTATGAGGATCGCATCCTAGGTGGAGCCATAGGCATTGGAGGCAGTGGATCGAACTTCTCTAACTGCTCCGGCTTTGAGATCTCTTCCTCTGGGAGTACCAAAGTTAATTGTGCCTACTGTGGCCAGTGGTCAGACTAACCTTAAGTCGGAACATCGGATTTAACACTGTTTCCATCAGTAGTTGATATCTGAGAAATCAATAGTGTCAGTAAAGTTGTACTGTCTAATGCCGGAGCAGCTGCTGATCGTGGGAAAACTACTTGCACGTGATGCTTCTGCTGATATGATGTGTAAGCCTACTGTGGGAATAACTATGTTTGGTGTTACAACTACTCCATGTGTTACTGCTGTGAAGGAAGGGTATGAGACGCTTGTATTTCATGCTACCGGAGTTGGCGGAAAAGCAATGGAAGAACTTGTTAGAGGCGGCTTCATACAGGTTTTGTTAATTTTATCGCTTGCAGAACTGAATGTTGTGGAGAAGAACTTGGAAAAAGCAGATTTTTGGTCATAAGTCGACTCATGCACAGGCATAAGTCGATCATCATCTACCTGACTTTCCACTTGAACACGACTAGAACCTGGTTGGTCTTTAGGTTCTATCTCAATAACCTGGGACTCGGGAGTCCCAACAGTATCAACACCACCATCTTTGGGCACCCTAGCAATCATGGACTTCTCATCAAATGTAACGTCCCTGCTGATCACGAACTTCGAATTTTCTGTACACCAAAGGCGGTAGCCTTTTACGCCCTTTGCATACCCCAAGAAAATTGCCTTCTTGGCCCTCGCGTCAAGCTTTCCCTCGTTGACGTGATAGTAGGCGGTACATCCGAAAATCCGGAGCCTCTCATAATCTGCATGCTCTCCTGACCACACCCGATAGGGTGTGTCACCGTCCAATGTCGAATGTGGAGATCGATTCACAATATAGCAAGCTGTAGCAATCGACTCTGCCCACCATTCTTTGCCCAAACCAGCATATGATCGCATACTCACTGCTTTCTCCCGCAGTGTTCGGTTCAGTCTTTCTGCGACCCCATTCTGCTGTGGTGTAGATCTAACTGTCCAGTGTCTAGCAATGCCCTCCTGATCACAGAACTCCTTGAAGGCACCGTCTGTGTACTCTGTACCGTTGTCAGATCTCAGCGTCTTCAATTTCTTTCCCGTCCTGTTCTCAACCATCGCCTTCCACTTCTTGAATGTCTCAAATACCTCATTCTTATGCTTCAGGAAGTAAACCCAAGCATACCAGAATGATCATCTATGAATGAGACAAAATATCTGGAACCACCCTTGGAAGTTGTCGAAGCCGAACCCCAAACATCCGTGTGCACATAATCTAGCATCCCTCTGCTCTTATGATTGCTTCTCAGGAATTGAACCCTATGCGCCTTTCCATACACACAGTCCTCGCAAAAATCCATGCAAGGCTTCTTCAGATTCTTCAGCAAACCCTCTTTACCAAGCAGATCCAGACCCTTCTCTGACATGTGCCCAAGCCGCCTATGCCATAACCGTGTGTGCTCACATGGGTCTCCACCACTTCCTTAAGTTCCAACTGTTGCATCTCCCGTTACCGTCGTACCCGAGAGAGTATATAGATTACCGTGACGAACACCCTTCATCACTGTTAAGGAACCCCGAACAACCCTCTTCACTCCGTTCTCTGTTACAATCTTGCAACCCCCAGAGTCCAAAGCACCGACTGAGATGAGATTCTTCCGCAAGCCGGGAACGTGTCGTACATCCTTCAGGGTTCGAACCACTCCATCATGCATCTTGATTTTGATATTACCTAGCCCCACCGTTTTACAAGCATGGTTGTTCCCCATCAATACGGTTCCACCATCAATACTCCTGTAGGTAGTAAACCACTTCCTGTTTGGACACATGTGGTAAGAGCAGCCAGAATCAAGAATCCACTTTCCGGAAGTATCCTCGCCATCCGTGACGACATAGCATTCCTTATCACTCCCATCCTCTGAAGCGTAACTCGCCTCTTCCTTGTCTTCTCGTCTTTCAGTCTTGTTGTTGTTCTTTTTCCCACCTACTCTCTTGTTAGGACAATCGACCTTGAAATGCCCAACTTCACCGCATTTGAAACACGCTCGTCCCGCAAGAGGTCTCGATTTAGATCTAGACTTTCCTCCCTTGCCTTTTCCTCGCTCATTGCCTCTTCCTCTGGCAAACAGTCCCTGCGCTTGTTCTTTGTTACCACCAGTGGCCATATCACTAGTTGCAATTTTTCGAAGATCATCCGCTAGAAGCGTCGTTCTAGTTTCATCCATTGATAAAGTATCACCCATAAGCATCAGTGTTTGTACCAGGTTCTCATAAGACTTCGGCAGAGATAGAAGTAGTAAAAGCGCCTGATCCTCGTCTTCCACTATCACCTCAATGTCTTTCAAATCTGATAAGATCCTATCAAACTTGTTGATGTACTCCCGGATTGACGAGCCCTCCTCCATCTTGCAAGTATACAATTTGGATTTTAAATAGATCCGGTTCGTTAGACTCTTCGTCATGAAGGTGCTTTCTAACTTCAACCACACACCCGCAGCCGTTTCCTCCCCGTCTACCAGGAAAGCTACATCCCTCTCAAGGCATAGGATAATCGACGCTCGTGCTTCCAGATCCAGCTCCTCCCAATCCTCATCAGACATAGTTTTGTGCTTCTCTCTTCCAGCCAAAGCCTTGTGCAACTTTTGCGAAATCAGCGAATTTTTCATCTGCATCCTCCAATAGGAAAAAATATTTTTCCCATTAAATTTTTCAATCTCGTATTTTCCAACTTTACTTGTTTTACTTGTAGAAGCCATTTTTCAATTTCGCTTGTATTTGTAATCGCCTTCTCTCACGCGAAATTTTTTAACATTATTTGGTTTTTACACACAATATTTAAAACCCACCTCAGACAGAATTTTACAACCCAGTCTGAAATAAGGGCTCTGTACCGAATGTGTTGGGCGCAGCAGTCACGCCGACCGCCGCGGAAGCATATATCACTGAATGCAGAGCCCTATTTTGTTTGCACACAAAGTAACAAGTCAAAACTCGAAATCTGTGTTCGCGAAGGAACACTAGAACTCCAGTAGCGACAATATCTCAGCGAAGCGATGATATCCACTCTTCTCTCTCATCAGTCGCAAGACCGATTCTTGAGGATCCCTACAAGCAACTAGCAAAACCCAGAAAAACCAGTAAATACACGCAGAATTTACGTGGTTCGGCAAACTAAGTCCTAGTCCACGGGAAGGGGGTTTCACTAATGAGCGAGAATACCCAAACTTATACAAGTTTTATCTCCAAACTCTTTTCTTTTCTCTTCTAAGAAAACTCACAAACCTAATTGCTTTCTCCACACATTTTCCCAACTTAATAATTTTTCCCACACAAAACACTCCAACTCTCTCATTTATAGGAGCAAACTAAAACGGGGGATCCGATTATTGGCGGCTGAGGAGGCGGAAGAAGAAAAAATCCGCGCGGATATTTTCCGCCTTCTGGGAGCCTGGCAGCCGGGCAAAACGTCCCGCCTCGGGAGCTGGCAGCGGAACAACTCCCCGCTCGGGAGTTCGGCCAGCGGAGAACCAGTTCCCGCGCACTCGTGGTGAGAGCCCCCCTCACATCACATTAATATATATTAATATTATAGATCATAGGTATACTAGTTAATAATATATATATATTATATTAGATATATTAATATTATATATATACAAGAGAAGGGGGAGAAGAGAACAACTAAATCATTAATTCAACAATTGAGAATTAAATTGAAATGGGTAGATTAAGAATAGGGTACATCTTGAAAGGGAATCAAGAATGTGGTGTTGCAGCTAAACTACAAAATTGAGGATTGATAGAAGGTAGGTGAGATCACCTGTTTCCAAGGAGAGCATGGAGTTGGATGATGGTCTGTTCCTCTTGAAGGGTAAATTTGCCTCTCTTGATATCAGGCCTCAGGTAGTTTGTCCACCTTAACCTGCAGCTTTTACCGCACCTCTGGAGTCCTAGCTAGGTAATCAGACAACCCATCAACTACGACTTAATCAAACAACAATCAATCCTCTTATTTATACTTATGTTGCCGCATCTATACATCTCTCTCAGTTTTTTTTTTCTTTATTTCATTTTTTTTTGCCCCCTCTTCTTCTTCTTTATTTGTAAGCATATTGTGAAGTCAATTTTAACATGTTAATTGAGCTAGAAATGTCCACAAACTGAAAAAAAAAGTAGTAGAAATTAAGAGGGTGGGGTTTGAGTTAGTGTATACTAATTACCAGCTTTGGAAGGTAAAGCCCGCCAACTGCCATGGCCGTGCTCCTCAATGTAGGCAAGTAGCTTCTGATCCTCCTCCGGCGTCCAAGGCCCCTTCTTCAACCCAACCTTCTCACAGCAAGGGGATCTACCCATTCTCCCTCTATAGACCTATAACTATACCTTTCTATATATATTTTTCGGAAAGAAAATTTACTAATTCACTTATCAGAACGCGGATACTTACTGATCAGAACGCGGCTACTTACTGATCCGCGGAGGGAAAACCAATGCCTGCTAAGAGGTACGGTTTCAGCTACCTAGTTAGCAAGAGATGCCGGTAAGTGGCTAGTGAGGGTGAGCTTGTGTTGGATAAATAGAAAATTAATATACGATAGGAGAAAGTTTAATTTTGAGACAAAGTTTCGTAATAAATAGGGGAGAGTGGCCAGCGAGAGCGACAGGGGAGAACAAGATGAGAAAGTATATCTCTACGTATGCCTTGGTAATCATACCGGTTCACCAGCATGCTTAATTGCTACCCGATAACTACAGCCCTTTGGGTACATATATAGTTTGGACCGACTTGGTACTATATATAACGTCAGTGTGAAATTGAAGTTACTAACATGCGAGCAGTAATAGGCAAGTGTTGCCCCTCTTCAATTCAATAAATGTGAGCAGTTTTTAGCTGGACAAGGTGACAGTTGTGGTGATATGCTCTATGTCAAAGCGCTTTCCCAATTCAGATGCTTCTAAAGAGTGCATTAAAGGGGTCAAAAAAGAGAAGAGGATGCAAAGTTGGGTATTTTAATTTTGGGTATACGCCCACTTTCCTTCATCTGCTACTACTTGCAACTTAATTTACATCAAAGATGACACTTCTGTTGGCTTTCAATAGGATCGGCCTAAGCTTCTTAATTTGCAAACACAAAAGAGATAATGGCTTCAAGTGGCCGAAATCTTTGAATGGTAGGTGACTGCAGAATTAAACAAGCACAACCTTCCTTTGTATTTGGCCGAGAGAACAAAATAAACAGAGCCTCCGCCGTTGAGAGAACGGTTGTCTGCAGCGAAAACAAGAAGAGATCTATTTTATCATTAGCCGGAAAACAGAAAGAGCGGAGAGAGGAGTTCAGGAAGTTTTTTTCTGGAGTTTTTATTCAGCACCACTTTCTAAACTCAACAATCTGTTACAGTATATATATGGATTAAGAATTCACAACTCTAATCTTAATCCAATACTAGAAAACTACTCTACTACT